GAATGCTTTTTAAAGAAATGGACTCCTACTGCAATTCCTGTCTGCCTTGCTATCTCTTAGATACCTCAGCACTTACAAACTCACTTATTTCTTTTTAATAATGGCTTGGCATTGCATTGTATGACTGCACCTCTATTTATTTCACCATCCCCTCTTGATGGACTCTTGGGTTGTTTCCAAGTCTTTGCTACAGTTACAAACAAAACTGCAGCAAACTTGTGCATTTATCTTGGCCTTCTCACTGCTGTTATTTCTGTGGTGCATAAAGTGTATGTGCATTTTTAAAGTTCTAATAGTTCTTGGCAAATTGTTTCAATATTTGGTTGCATTTCCCCCCTTCACTGCTTTTGATTTTGCAGCTTTGCTGTCTGTTTGTACATGGGTGTTTTGTTTTGTTTTTTGATGAACTTTAGGATCATCTTACCAAGTTTTATCAGGTCTTACTTTTGGATGAATACAGGCTGAATCAGCAACCATGTCTGCCTTGAAAATTTCAGTCTGGTAAGGATTAGGGTGGGGGCTGTGGTGTAGTGGGTGATGAAAGCTGTAAAACATTTACCTCGGGGCCAGCCCTTTACCATGGATTCTGGGAGCTCCCAGGAAAGAGCAGCCTAGTCTGTGCACTGGCCACAAAACATTTTCTAGAATACCAGCTCATCGAATTCACACAACGGTTCTTTGTATGAAGCAGTATTACTCCCTCTTCTACATGAGGAAACTGAGGCCTAAAAAATGAAGGCCTTGCTTAGCTCCAGCCTCCCAGCTCTTAACTCCTCTTCTCCTTTCTCTTTGTGTTGCTTCCCCCAATATCTTCTCCACCTCCCAACCTCCTATCCCCCCACACTTAGCCTTGCTGGTTGGGCTGGCAGAGCCCTGGGCCATGGGCACTCTCTGCAGCCACTGCCCAGGGCTGTGTGGCCTTCTAATAGAGGCCAGGGAGGGGACCCCATATGTCCAGGTAAACGGGGCTGTCACAGCAGGCTGGACCCTGCCACTTTGTGGGGACCCCAGACCTCAGCACCTGCCTCACTTACTTAGCCAGGGAATGCAAGTGGATCCCAATCTTTCTCTAGGCAAACACTTCTCTCCAGCCTGCCTGCCATAAATTCAGGTAATAGGCCTTTACAAGGTCGTTATCCTGACCAGGACCCATAGTAATTCCCAAGCTTCTGTGCCAGTGAAGTAAGTCTGTCTCCACGCCCACCCTCCCCGCCCCCTGCGCCCCCCTCCCCAACTCCCCGAAGCCTGAGGTTTTCTGAGAGGTCCTCAGTGGAAAGGGCATGAAACAGGCCGCTCACCCCCCAGTTACTTGCATCACCGCTGCAACTCTTCCTCACCCGCCCTCCTCCAGACCTTTATGGCTCCTTCAAGGTCCTGAGAGCCGGGTGGACTAATGATGGGTGCGAACACCTAAGGGAATTACCCGCGGCTCTTCGCTGGCTCTGGCTCCCCCGCGTGTGGACCAGCGGAGCTGCCATCTGGCCAAGCCCGCCCCTCCATTCCCGCTTACAGCAGCCGGGGCTCACCTGATGCAGTCCTCGCCCGCCTGAGTCGCCATCTCGCGCGGTTTTTGAGGCTTTGCCCCAGATTGCTTTCCTTTCCAGCAAAAAGAAAGGGCGTTGATTGAGAGATGCCCCCAGGCCTCACTTGTGGGGATGCAGCACCGGGTGCAGCGCCAAGGGGCCAGTGAATTCCCTCAAGCAGACAGAGAACACATCTGGATTCCATTCTCAACTCTCACCAGCCTGCTGTGTGTCTCTGGGCCAGTCATTAACGTCTCTGAACTTCATTCCCCGCCTCTGTAAAATGGAGCTTCGATATGCTAGCACTTGTCAGGCCTGCCAAGATGATTAAATGAGACAGTACAGGTGACAAGTGGAGAGCAGGAGGATAACAATTACCTCCAGAACGGGACATTCACTCTATGCTTGGATTTTGAAATCACCCTATTAAAAAGTATCATCCACAGATGAAGAAATTGAGAGACAGAGGTTTAGTGATTTCTCTGGACTAGGCAATGTTAGAGCTGGGGCTACATTCAGGAAGACATGGGTACAGACTGGGAAGTATGAATGGGGGGACCAAGGTTTGTGAATTTAGGGCTGCCCAGAGGCCTGAAAAGTAATTCGGCAGTGCCCCCCTCTAGCTGTTAACCAGTGCTTTCATCCTCCAAGGAGTGTTCATTCCTTCTTAGTATAGCGACCGCCTAGGCCTATTTCCTTCTACCCATTCAATATCAGGGCTGCTCTATAACAAAGAGACGGAGAGAGACTTGTCCTGGGTGACATGACTAGGCTCCCGGAACTGAACTGGAACACAGTCCAGCCCTGTACTCCTGCTGCTCCTCCCACTCATTTCCTCTGTGTGGTGCTGGAAATATTTTCAGGGGGTCTCCCAGTCACCTCCTTTGACTGGCCCAATGATAAAATGACAGGAGCAAGACAAGCAAGAAAAAAGACAAATTTAATTTATGAGCCTGGAGATCGATCCATAAAATATGGAATTTAGTGATGGCCATAGACCTAGTTTATACAGCTTTTAGACAAAGAAGCAATAAATCTGTGAAGAGCACAGAGGACAAAGAAATTCTTGGAGCAACTAATTTAGTGAGCTAAGCAGAGCTTGTTTACACAGCTTCCTGTCCCTGTCTCTGAGGATAAGGGCTCTTTCTATGTCTGGAGAGGGAGGGGGTCTGCTTACCCAGAGATTTATTTCCTGCTTTCAGAGGGGACAAGAAGGAGGAGGGTCAAAGTAAATGGCCACTTTTAGGAGAAAGAGAGTTTTAGGGTATCATTCATTCACCTTTTTTGAAATTTAAAATCAATATGCTACTTTGGTGCGTCTTGGGGTGGCCTGATCTGGGACCTAAGAGTGGGCAGTGCTATAGAGGGGTGCTCCTTTTCACTCACAAATGGGCGCCTCTCCAGTGGCTGCCACTGGCCACTCCCATCCCCACTTGGCCAGACCTACTGCCCACTTCCCACTCCAGACCTCTCTCCCCTCACACAGCTGATGTTCTCAGCAGAAACGTCCGGTGCAGCCTCTGGCTCCCAAGTGCTGGCACAAGACCAGCAGATATTTTACCACTCTGTGTACATTTTTTTCTTTTGTTAGAAAGGGACTAGCAAGTGATTCCAGTGGCATCTTTGGGGAGATAAATTATGGGTATTTTTTTCTTGTGTGTATTTTAAATTTTCTTTGGTAATGAGCAAACATTATTAATAAGACAAGAAATAATAATTGTTTTAACATTCGTTTAAGGCAACAATCACAAAGAACGAGTTGGATAAAAATGGATTGTTCCTAGGAAGAAAACGAAAGTGGTTATTAAACAAAGAAAAAGAATACCAGCTTTGCTTGTGCTGATAGAAATGCAAATTAAAATTACACTGGTTTGTCATTTCTTACCTAGCATGTTGGCCAGAATCCACGTTTGACAGCCTGTTCTGTTGGGAAGGCTGTGAACAAACACGCTTTTTCATATGTGCCACATGGGAGTGCAAAACAGCCCCTATGAGGGGGAATAGGTAATAGCTAGCAAAATTACACATGCATTTGTTTGCCCTTTGAGCCACCAATCCCACTTCTAAAAATTGATCCCCTAGAGGCATGGTAAAAATGACCAAACAATACATGCTTGAGATTGTCCGGTAACTATTGTGATAGCAAAAGACTGGAAACAGGCCCATGTCCATCAGAAAGGACTAGACTGGGGGCCTCCCCGGTGGCACAGTGGTTGAGCGCTGCCCGCGGCCTCTGCGGTTCCGGTTCGATCCCCGGCTGCTCCCCGGAGGGTCCCACATGGCACGCAGACCTCTCCTGCCACCCACTGCTCCCCTCAGCAGTGTACTTCGGTCCTTCTGCCTGCTCTGCTCCCCGCTCTGGCTCTGGTGAATTCTCTCACCCGCCTGCGCTTCTGACTGTACCCAGTGCTTGTATAAACAAAACAAATAAAATAAATAAATAAATAAAACATGCCTCTATAAAAAAAAAAAAAAAGAAAAAAAAAAAAGAAAGGAGTAGACTGGTTGAAGAAGCCTCATTATGAACCACTCTGAGATTGCAAAAAGAACGTAGGACACCTCGACAGACATACAATTTTTATTGGTATCATGTTAGTGGTCTTACTTAATTGGTTCATTTTTCCCCTCTCAGCAGTAGGCGTTTAATCATGCTGCTGTGAATACCTCTGGTCCCCTGCCCGGCTAGTGGCATAGTACCACATTTTATCCATCCACTACCCCAGCGTGGACGCTAAGGTTGTCTCCAATTCCTGGCAACCACAAAACAACGACAGGGCCGCAGACATCCTCTGACATGTCCCTGCCTGAGCTTGTAAGAGCAGAGCTGGATTTCAGGACCATTCTCTTCGTTGACTTCCTTCATCACCGCCAGGCTGTTTTCCAGACCAGCTGCCCCAGGCTACTCCCACCAGCGGGGCACTGGCTGTGAGAGCCCCACATCCCCCCAGCATTTGGCATTATTCAGCTCTCTATTTTTGCTAGTCTAGTTGGTGTGAGAGCTCACTGCCACTTTAATTAGTATTTTTCTTATCACGAATAATGTGATCTTCCTTTCTCATGCTTTCAAGCCCAATGGGGTTTCTCTTCCTTAAACGCCTGCTCAAGTCCTTGGGGTGCCTGGGGGCGGCCTGACCAAGGTCCTGAGCCCTCCGGGAGGCCTTGAACGCCACGCCAAGGCCGAGAGAAGGACCAGGTCCCAGACCCCGCTCATCCACGTGGCCTCGACCTCGGGACTCTGGCGTGAAAGCTCGTCCACGAGCAGGTCGAACGAGCCAGAAGGAATCTGCAGCCGCTCCGCGGTGCCCGGAGGCCGCCTAGGCTCCCCCACAGCTGTCCGGAGGCCGGGCCGCGGGCGAGGGGTCTGCCAGGGCAGCCCCTAGGAAGTCCCCTAGCGCCTCTCGGAGGCCTCCCGCCGCCCCGCCCCCAGCTTAGCGCCCCTCCCAGGGCCCCCCCAGCCCTGCACGGGCTGCAGCTGCAGTCGCGGCGGGTAGACGCGCGCTTTGGGGCTGCGGAGCCGGCGGGATGGAGGAGACGCTGGCGGGGGAGACCGATGGCCGTGAGTGCGCGGGTCTCGGGGCCGAAAGGGCTGGAGGTCGCCGGCAGAGGCTGTTAGAAGGTCGCCCGCCATTCTCTGGGGGCGATCAACGCTGCGGATGGCGCGGTCCCTTGGCTACCTCCGTTTTGGGCTTTTTTCGTGTGTGGCGCCGAGAGGAACGCGCACCGGGCGGAGGGGACCTTGGTTTCTCGAGTGGGGCTCGGGGGGCGCCACCCGCACCGAGAGCTGGGAGCTGTGGCGGCAGAGGCTTTAGCTATAAATTAGGGAGCAATGTGACCCTTTATCGTGCTCTTACTTTGTACTTTGTGAGCGGGCCGAGCCTATACAAGCACGGATTTTGATTTTCTCAGCAGCCCTGTTGGCGCCATTTTGCAGAAGAGAAAGCTGAGGCATAGGGTGGTTAAATAAATTGCTCAAGGTCACACAGCCATTAAGTGGTAGAAACGATGAAGGCCCCAACTCCTACAGAATGTTGGGGCTCAACAGGGAATAGAGACCTTGTCAAATGGGGAGACTGGAACCCAGTGGAGGAGCTGCGGTAGTGAAGGTGGGTGAGGGCACCCTAGGGCATGCCTCAATGAGTGTACCCACTGCCAGGGCTCCAGGCCGAGCAGCAGCATCTGTGTGCACAGAGTCGGCATTGGCCTACTGCGGGCATTGGCCCCACTGACTGGGAGAAGGCAGAGAAGGATTGTCCTCATTGGGGTGCAGGTGGAAGTGGGGATGGGGACTCTATGGAGATGCTATTTCAGAAGTACAGGGTTCTACCTGGGACAGTGGGTCCCTTTAGCTGTACCTTAAAGAATGTGCAGCAGTGGGGTTTTGGGGTGTGTGAGAATTCTGGGCAAAGGCTCAGAGATAAGAATGTAGTGAGTATTTGATGTGGCAGGAAAGAAGGTGGATGTTGAGATGGAGGGAGGAGATGAGACTGGACTTGATTTCTTGAGCATTATGTGGGGTGGGCTTGCTTCCATTTTGTTTCTTGGCTATTCTTGCCAGGCACTGCTCCTGGTCTTCAGCTGAGATAAACGGTGTCAGAGCTGGAAGGGATCTGTGCAAATTACTTTCTTCGCCCTCCCTCACTTTTATAACAGAAGAAATGGAGACCCCCCCAAGGGGTGACCAGTCCAGAATCCTGATGCTGGAAAGTGGCTGAGTGGACCCTGGAAGCCAGGCTTCTCTGAGCTCACACTGAAGCAGCAGCCCTTTTCTGGAAACTGGATCTTGGTGGGTTAAGGAAAGAAAAGAGGTTAGGAAAAGAAAAGTTAGGGACACAGATGTTTGGATTTGAAAGTATTACAGGGCAACCCCAATGTGATATGGGTTGGCCTGAGTGTGGGTCCTCAACTGCATGCTTAAAAAGAACTTACAATGAGACTCAACTGCAAATACACACAAAAAGACAAATAAAGGGTTTATTCACAAAAAGGGAAAGGAAGAGAGGAATAACTCAGTGAGAGCAAGAGAGAGAGCGGTAAGTTGGTGAATGTGTCCTACCAGTTCCACTGAGCTGGGATCCCAATAGTACGCTGAAGCCCAGTGAAAAACCAACAACTCCAAGGCCCACACATCTGGTTATATACCAGGCCTGTCTGCTTAACTCCACCCTCAGTTCCCAGCAATACTCCCTTCGTTGGTGATGACATTATAGGATTTGCAGTCCTTGATGTCTCGGATCTCTTTGGTCTGGGGTGGGGGTGGGATACATAAGACCTGAGTTTGTGGAGTTCATTCAGGACACTCTCTCCCTCCCACAAAAGGGACTCTTCAAGATCCTGTTATGTTACCTTGAGAAGGGCTCTCTCTTTACCTACAAGAAGGCAGACCTCTTTGGGTTTGGGGGAGGGTGGAGCATCAGCAGGGACCACACTTGGAAGATGGTGTTTTCCTCCTTCCCCTGAGTATTGTCCTGAAGCTGCCTCCCGCTCTGAGCTTTGATTTTCCAGGAGAAAAATTAATTTTAATTGGGACAGCATCTTTTTTTTTTTTTTTTTTTTTTTGTTATATGTTTTTTATTTTTATTTTTTTTTTAATTTTTTTTAAATATTAAATTATTTTTATATCCCCATACAATTGCAAACGCCCCATTCTGACCCCAATCCTTCCCCTAACGCCCCCCCCCCCCAAAAAGTGTCTCTGGTTCATAGTTTTTTGTTGATTTTGATTTTCACTTTCTTATATTCATTTTCCTGGTCCCTTATTTAAGTTTTCTAGATTCCTGCTATGAGTGATGACCATCCGGTATTTTTCTTTTCTTTTTGGCTTATTTCGCTGAGCATGATCCCTTCCAGTGCCATCCATGTTGCTGCAAATTGCATGTGTTTATCTTTTTTGAATGCTGAGTAATATTCCATGGTATATATGTACACATCTTCTTGATCCAGTCATCATCTATTTTTGGGCATTTGGGTTGTTTCCAAAGCTCAGCTATTGTAAACAGTGTGCTATAAACATAGGAGTGCAGGTGCTCTTTTGGAATTGATGTTTCTGTGTCCTTTGGGGGTAAATACTAGGAGTGGAATTGCTGGATCATATGGAAGCTCTATGTTTAGTAGGTCCAGAAATCTCCACACAGCTCTCCATAGTGGTTGGACCAGTTTGCACTCCCACCAACAGTGCACAAGAGTTCCTTTTTCTCCACATCCTCGCCAACATTTGTTGTTGCTAGTTTTTTTAATATGTGCCATTCTCACTGGTGTGAGATGGTATCTCATGGTAGTTTTGATTTGCATTTCCTGATGACAAGTGATGTTGAACATTTTTTCATATGTCTGTTGGCCATTTGCATTTCCTCTTCAGAGAAGTTTCTTTTTAGCTCTTCTGCCCATTTTTTGACTGGATTATTTTCTTTGTTGTTGCTGAGTCTCATCAGCTCTTTGCAGATTTTTGTGATCAGTCTTTTCATTAGTGTTGGGCAAAAATGTTCTCCCAGTGTGTGGGGTTTCTCTTTGTTTTTGTTATTGTCTCTTTGCTGTGCAGAAGCTCTTTAATTTGATGTAGTCCCAGCTGTTTATCTTTCTCTTCACTATCACTGCTTTGGGTGATGTGTCTGTAAAGATGTCTTTGATGTGCAAATCCCGTAGTGTTTCGCCTATATTTCCTTCTATGTATTTTATGGTTTCAGGTCTTATGTCTAGTTCTTTAATCCATTTTGAGTTGATTTTTGTGTATGGTGTGAGGTAGTGGTCAAGCTTCATCTTTTGCATGTAGCGACCCAGTTTTCCCAGCACCATTTATTGAACAAACTTTCTTTGCTCCAATGCATAGTCTTTGCTCCTTTGTCAAAGATTAGTTGACCATAAATCTGTGGGTTTATTTCTGGATTTTCTATTCGATTCCATTGGTCTGTATGTCTGTTCTTGTTCCAATACCATGCAGTTTTGATGATTATGGCTTTGTAGTATAGTTTGAAGTCTGGGAGTGTGATGCCTCCATTTCCTTCTTTTTTTTTCAGTAGAGCTTTGGCTATTCGGGGTTTTTGGTGATTCCATATGAATTTCATCAATAATTGTTCTATTTCTTTGAAGAATCCATTGAGATTTTGATTGGAATAGCATTGAATCTGTATATTGCTTTTGGTAGGATGGCCATTTTAATAAGTTTATTCTTCCAATCATGAGCAGGGGATGTCTTTCCATTTCTTTGTGTCTTCTTCTATTTCTTTTAACAGTGTTTTATAGTTTTCTTTGTATAGGTCCTTTACCTCTTTGTTAGATTTATTCCCAAATATTGATTTTTTTTGTTTCGATAATAAAAGGGGTGGTTTTTTTGATTTCTTCTTCTTCAGATTTATTGTTTGTGTATAGGAAGGCCACTGACTTTTGCGTGTTGATTTTGTATCCTGCCACTTTACTGAATTGATTGATGAGTTGAATTAGTTTTTCTGTGGAGATTTTGGGGTTCTCTATGTATATTATCATATCATCTGCAAATAGTGATAGTTTGACTTCTTCTTTTCCTATTTGGATTCCTTGGATGTCTTTCTCTTGTCTTATTGCTCTGGCTAGGACTTCCAGTATTATATTGAAAAGCAGTGGTGAGAGTGGACATCCTTGTCTTGTTCCAGATCTTAATGGAATTGCTTTCAGCTTTTCACCATTGAGAATGATACTGGCTGTTGGCTTGTCATAGATGGCCTTTATGATGTTGAGGTATGTTCCTTGTATCCCAAGAATTTCAAGGGCTTTTATCATGAATGGGTGTTGCACTTTGTCGAAAGCTTTCTCAGCATCTATTGATATTATCATATGGTTTTTATATTTCTTTTTGTTGATGTGTTGGATAACGTTGATTGATTTTCGGATGTTAAACCATCCTTGTGCCCCTGGAATGAATCCAACTTGGTCGTGGTGAATTATCTTATGGATACATTGTTGGATTCTGATAGCTAAAATTTATTGAGGATTTTTGCATCAGTGTTCATTAGGGAGATTGGCCTATAGTTTTCCTTTTTTGTGTTGTCCTTATTCGGTTTTGGTATTAGTGTAATATTGGCTTCATAGAACGTGTTGGTATTGTCCCTTCCTTCTCAATTTTTGGAAGAGTTTGTGAAGGATAGGCACTAATTCGTCTCTGAATGTTGGTAGAATTCATTTGTAAATCCATCAGGTCCTGGGCTTTTGTTTTTGGGGAGGTTTTAATTACCATTTCAATTTCGCTGCTTGTAATTGGTCTGTTTAGGTGTCTATTTCTTCTTTATCTAGCTTTGGGTGATTGTAGAGTTGTAGGAATTTGTCCATCTCCTCTAGATTGTTGAACTTGTTTCCATATAACTGTTCATAGTAGTTTACTGATTATTCTTTTGATTTCTGCTGTGTCCGTTGTGATTTCTCCTCTTTCATTTATGATTCTGTGTATTGTGCTTTCTCCTTTTTTTCCTTGTGAGCCTGGCTAGGGGTTGTCTATTTTATTATTTTTTCAAAGAACCAGCTCTTGGTTTCATTGATCTTTTGGATTGTTTTTTAGTTTCAATTTCATTTATTTCTGCTTTGGTTTTTATT